CCACTCCCTACCCGCGACCCCCCACCCCCCAATTTCAAAAAAATTAAGTTTGTTTTTAACAAATATTTTCAAATTTGTTTTTAACACTTTTTGGCAAAGTGTCAGCCATCAACGGATTTGATGAATCTTTACCCGCTACCATTTGAACGGGACTAGTTGTACATTTAGCTGATACAATAGCTCTTTCTACATTCGTTGGAGGATGAACACCCGTCTTATCCATTTTAAGATGAGATGGAGAACTCTTTGGTCCTTTTGAGTAGTCTTGTATTTGTAATGGTATGGTTTGATTAGTATTTCCAAGGAAGAACCTTATTTTTTCTTGTAATGAGTGGATATGTTGTGTCAGTTCCCCTTTCTCAGTCTCTAGTTTCTCAATTGTCTGGTTTAGTATTTTGAATCCTTCAGTCATTGAAGAACAATGATCGCAGAAGATTATCTTGTCAGTATCCTTTCGAATATTGTATTGCAGGAAAGGTCTTGAAGTTTGTCTTAAAGCTGGGCTTATGAAATAATTTGGCCCAAGAGTTCCTCTAGCATAGTCTAGTGCTTTATTTAAATCGTTGAATCCTTTGAAAAATGGGGTAGGAAAGTCTTTAATTGAGTCTATCACCTCGATCCAAGTCTGGAAGATGCCTGCTAGCTTTCCTCGAACTACTACGTAGAATTTAAACTTTTTGTCTTCATTTTTCTCCGTAAAATAATAACTTACTGAGTTTAATACTGAAATAAAATAGCTATTGTCTTTCAAAATTTTGTTATATGCTATCCATAGATTGTCTATCAAACATCTTTGATGTTTATCTATTTTTGTTTCTGGCTTTACTCTGAAACTTAAATTAGATGGAGGATAAAATATTAAATTTTGTCTTCCAAAGTATAGTCTTTCTATAGGAGTATTTATCCTTGCATCTTCTTCTCTTGTATGTGGTCTAAACGAAGTGTTTCCCAATAATGTCTATAAGTATATATCTTTGTCTTTTTGCCCACTATTACTTGAACTTGAACTGGATGCCTTGTCTTTGTTCTTACATGTACTCATTCTGAAAATAAATAATTAGTTTTCATGAGTCTGCTTAGTTGATCTGCTAAGGAATTATCTTTTCCGTTTATATATTCTAAAAATATATTGTATATTGATGTAGCGTCTAAAAAATTTAGCCATCTTCTCTTACTACTATTTTTTCCTTCTATTTTCTGGTGGAATTTTACAAAAGCTTTGCAGTCAGTTCTTACTAAAATTTCTTTTTTATTAATAATAAATAATTTAAAGCTATTTAGTCCATATATGACTACTAGAATTTCTGCATCTATGCTACTCATGTTTCCTTTTTCCTTGTATTTTTCACTGTGATAGGCGTAAATTTTTTCGTCTTTCTTTTCTATATATTTATTGTTCTTTGTTTTTAATTCTGCTCCCCATCCTTCTAGACTTTTGTCGGTTTCCACTATTGGGCAGTCAGTTTTTAGTGGGAGGGCTAGATCTGGTATATTTTTAACCATTTGTTTAAGCTTTTGTACTAATTTTATGTCTTCCATATTGAATGTCTTCTGCCTATGAATTCCTGTTTTAGAATATAAGGGTCCTGTTACTTTTCCTAGGTCTTTTATAAAACTTCGTGCATAATTTAATATTCCTAGAAATTTTTGTAAGTCTTTAGTATTATCTAATTTATCAAGCATGTCGAGAACCTTTTTTGCTATATGGGGTTGTAATTTTATCTTTCCATTTCCAATTTCTACCCCTAGGAATTTTATAAGATTTATCTGGTGGTGAAGACATTCCTGCTGCTACAATTGGAGTTGACGGTACTAGTTCTGTTAGAGTAAGAGCTCTTGCTGGAATAACCAGTGCTAGTTACTTGACTGTTGGAGGAGAAACCACTGTTAGTTTTTTACATAATTCCATTTTCTTTTTGCTAATTATAATTCCATTGTCTACAAATAATTTAAACACCGTTTGTAAATGTCTTAGATGTTTGTTGGCATTATTACTAAATACTAAGATATCGTCTACATATACTAAAATAAAATTTTTATAATCTCTAAATATATTGTCCATCTTTCTCTGAAAGATCGGAGGAGCTGTTTTTAAATCGAAGGGCATTACCAACCATTCGAAATGTCCTTCTGGGCAAGTGAAAGTTTTCTATTCTATACTGTCTTCATACATTTTGACTTGCCAGTATTCGAATTTACAATCAAACTTACTAAAAAAAATTCTTCCTTGCATTCGATTTATTAATTTTGATCTTTCTGGCAACTTATATCCATCCATTTTGGTATTGTCATTAAGTCTTTTATAGTTTATTACCATTCTAGCTTTTCCTCTTAATATTTCATTATGATTTCTTACCACAAATGTTGATGACCTATGTCTTGAAGTTGATCTTCTTATCACTCCCTAATTTAGTAATTCTTTTATCTGATCTTCAAATTCCTTTAGGTCTTCATTTGTGGATTCTATTGAATCAGTTTTAACAGTATATTCTGGGTTAATGATATCCAGTCTGCAAGTTATATGATTGGCTTCCCAGTGCTTTAAAGGTCTTTCTCCAATTATCTCTAATTTATCTAAGATGGAAATTACCTCCTCTAGGTCTTTTTGATTTTTTATGACTCCTATATGTTGTAATCCTTTTTTGAAATTATAAAATTCTGTATTTATTTCTATTAAGTTATAACTTTTCTCTAGTTGTATATCAGATAAACTTAGCTCTAATAATTCAATTTCTTCTTCAATAACATGTATCTTAGTATAATTACATTCTTCTCCTTTATTACATTTTGAAGTGTTTGTATTAAGTTTATCAGTATTTTTAAGATACCTAGATTTCGTTGGAAACGATTCTGTTGTTATTGAGGTATGAGTCATATTTTTAGAGAATATTACTCCGTCTCTAGTAAGGCGACAACATCCGTTGTTATGTAATAAGAAGTCTAAACCTAAAACAAAGTCTACTATAATATTTAAGTCTCTAACCCATATTTTTTCTAATCTATACATGTGTTTATAAAAGTTTTCACATGTATTTAAAAAACTTATTTGAGCATTACTAACATAATGTTTATATACATTTGAAGATCCATCCATTTGCATGGCGCTTTGTGGCTCTGGAAATTATTTTATTATATCTAGAGGCAGGATACTTCTATCTATTATACTTTTACATCCAGAGTCTACTAGAGCTAAAGTTTCTATTTCGTAGTCTTGAATTCTTATTCTTGTTAATATTTTGATAGTATTAATTTTCTTGTCTTCATTACAAATTAATCCCTCAAATGATTTATAGTCCTCCTTTTCATTTAAGAGCTCGATTTCCTCTTTTGGCGTTGTGTTTTGGTTGGTTCCCTCTTCTAATTTTTCTTTTCCCTTTTCTAATTTACTTATTCTGTCCTCTAAATTATCAATCCTTTTTTCTAAAGATATTAATGTTTTTTCTTTTGTACTTCTTGTTTGGTCTATAACTTTTATGTTAAATATCATGTCGATGCACATAAGGCATCCCTCTACATAGCAGTTCATACATTTAGCTCTTCTGTCTTTACTGGGGTATCATGTGCAATTAAAGCATTTTTGACTATCTAACCCTTTTGCTTTGGAGAATTGGTGATCGCATTGTATATTAACAAAGGTAAAATCTTTCATGTTTAAGTCTAATTTTTCTAATCCTATCTCGTTTATTAAAGTTTCTTCTTCTGAATCAGACGAATCTTGTTGTCTTCCTTCTATAGCATCTATGCTTATTACTAAATATATGCTCTCATTATCTGACTTGTATTCATCTACATTTATCAGGGTTTCTTGGAAGTCTTCTATAAGTTGGGCATTTCTTGTTCTACTATTATTTCTACCTGGACAAGTATTAGCTAGATGTTCTTCACTTCCACATAGTAAAACAAGATAGTCTTATTTTTGTAAATTCTATTATTATTATTATTGTTTTCTTACATGTCTATCTTTATTTAGGTAAGGTTTTTTTGCCGTAGATTTTCTTAGATAATACCTTTTCCTAGGTTTGTAGTCTTGGTTATTTTGATATGTCTTTCTGTATTTTCTTTTTGGTGTACTTTGATCATAGCTTTGTGTTGTATATATATTCTTACAAAAACTAGTCTCATTTTGTTTTAATTATTTTTGTATTTGTATATTTGTACATTTCTCTTGTAATATTTCCATGACATGTTGTATTTTATGTCCTATAGACCAGTTGGCATTTGGGTTTTGTCATTACTCCCTCTCTTTTGTTCCATCTTTCCTCTATTTCTCTTCCTAAGGCTCCAGGGAGTTTGTTAAAAAGTTTTTTCCCCAAGCTTTGGTCAAACGCATTACCGCTTATAGCGCAATAGTAAAAATAGTCTTTTAAAAAATTCTTTATATGACTCCAATTTGTTTTGCTAAGTTGTTCTAATTTTATTAGTGCATTCTTTTGTAACACTACTAATCCGCTATTTGGGTCTTCTCCTGTTATCAGGCTGTGTATTTTATTAGTAAAATTATACGAGTTTGGTCCTATATTTACTAGTTCTTGGAATTCTTGAGGGTAAGCTACCTTATATTCTTCCCATACTCCTTTGATTGATTCTCCTAGAAAGGTTTCCATGTATCTATACATAGTTTCTGCATCTGTTTCACTATAATGGTGTATGTTGTCTGCTACTACTACTCCTTTCCATACATCTAGTACTGAGTTCCATAATTGAGGGTCATGAGCCGATATATTTAGTATTTTTCATCTATCTCCCCTGTCTTGGAGTTTGATGGGGGCTTCTATTGGCATTATTATTCCTATAGGTCTAACCATTTCTGGTTCTGTCATCGGGTCTTGTCTAAATACACGGTGTTGTGGTAAATTACCTATAGTATATTCTATTGGTGGTATTGGGGTTGTCTTTTGGAAGGGACTTGAGCTTGAAGAAGCGGTTTCCATAAATTCTTTTAAACTGCGTGTTGTTTCATCATCGCTTTCATCTAATTCTTTTAAACTACGTGTTGTTTCATCATCACTTTCTTCCTGTGTTTTTTCTTTCTGGCGAAATCCATAATTGTCTGTTCTAAAATTACACTCTTTGAAGTGTTTTTCTACTATAGAAAATTTTAGTTTTCCTAGTTTACATCCTTTACATTTAAATAAATTTTCTTTATTTGACTTGTGTATTTCTTTAGCTTTTGCTATTGATATATCTACTTCATAGTCTTCTTCTTTATTGATCTGAACATTCATTCCTTCCATATTTATGGTTGATTCATTATCTTCTAAATCTTCATCTATTTCTTTTGATTTGTATATTTATAATCAGTGAATCTGATTGATGTCTCACCTTTATTATTTGTGTATGTGAGGTGGTCATTTGGTCTTAACACTTCTTTTTTATAGAATTTTTCTAAATTCCATTCTCTACCTGCATATTCTTCTGAATTTATTTTTAAAAGTTTCATTAATTTTATTCCTTTATTTCCCATTATGCCTACCGCATTGTCTATTTTTATTTTAAACCTTGAACTACTGTTGGTTGCTAATTTTCCTATGAAGCCAACACAAACTAATAGATTGTTTCCACAGTTCATTTCTTCGTAACCCTTGGTTTGTATGCCTATTTTTATGTATTTTCCAAATTCTTTTGAATTTATCATGAAATCTGGACTACAGTAAAAAATTCCTCCATTATTACTCATGTCGACTTCTGTTAAACCTATTATGGATCTTTTAGATTCTGACCATCTACTATCATATAAAGTGATTAATACTTTAGTACCTAAATTTTTTCTAGTTAAACCTTTAAGTCCGATTACTACCAATCTCATATGCATGAGATTCATTCGTCTTTTTTGTATTTCTTGCATAGATTATTTACTAATTAAATTTATACTTTCACTATCGTTTTCTGATACACTCAATTGTTCTTCTCTATAATGTCTGTATAAGTGTGCTATTGACGAAAATAGTCCTGTATTATATAGAACTTGTGGATTTAATAATTTTAATTTATTTTGCTTGAATATTTCTATATCTCTATCTACATCTATTATCTCATCTAACTGATGACTATTACTTGGAAGTTATTTTTACTCTATACACTTTTAGTCAATTTAATAATCATATATATATATATATATTTATAAAGATATATGTGATGAATTTTTTTTTAGTAAATACTATAGATTTAGAGGGGATAGAATATGTTATTTGCAATACAAAATTTATATAAAGTATTTTGGGATAAACGTGCAACGCACGTTCCCAGATGTAGTAACACATAAATTGAATTGCGAAACTTGCAACTGACAATCAATAGCAGCAAAATTAATATAAATAAGTTGTTAACTTGAAAAGGAGACAACCATGCTCACCTAGAAAACTTCAGGAATCAGGCTTGCCATTGTGAATCCTTCCAAACTCCCGTTTCTAAATAGAAAAAAAAAATATGAACAATTTTTGGTCAGTAGCCGTGGTTTGAGCAATAGACTGCTCAACAAGATTTTTAAAAAAGGAAAAGAATAACTTACATCAGTTGGAGAGCCATTTGTTTTAATCATCATAGGAACTCCCGATCAATCACAATGGTGGGAATTTGAGCAATATTTGGCCAGTATTCTCCCTCGTCAAATTCTAGTAATGGTGTGAGCAACCATCTAGAAGAAACTTGGCTCCCACTAGCACTTGGAGGCTTTTCAACTTGCTCAGATGTAGTGTCATCTTCAAGCGAGAAGTGTTGCTTATGTCAAGATGACTCAAGTTGATCAACTTCTCCATCTGCAGTGGTAGCTCCTCAAGATAATCACAAGATGACAGGAGAAGTGTCTTTAAATTATACAATCCACAAATGGAATCTGGCAACTTATTAATCTCTGTCTTAGAAATATCCAAAAATCTCAGGAGCTTTAATTTGATAAACAAGTCATCCGGCAACTCCTTAATCCTGTAATGAGACAATGATAATGCCCTTAAGGATCTTAGTCTTGGCAGTATGTTATGCTGCACCCTCTTGCTTAGAGAGTCATGATTGACATCAAAAAATATCGGAAGCAATGTCCTCAGCTGCTCCAATTTGTAGAGGGGTGTTAATTTCTCAAACTCACCACCTTTTCCCATTGAATAAGATAAGTGCCGACTTTTTTCCAACATATGAGATCCTTGGCTCTCTTCCAACCTGATACAAAGTTTTGAAGATGCAATTTGGGCTAAGTCATTGACAAGGTCATGCATTAAGAATTTCTCTATGTTCCCTTCAAAAGGATTTGGGACCCTTTCGAATAATGATCTTGACCTCAATTCGAGAAAGTATTGGTTGCCTGAATCTTCAATTATTTCATCTTCCTTTGGTACGAGACCATTGGCAATCCAAAGATGAATAACTTGCTCTTTCCTAAATGAATAATCTTTAGGAAATATTGCACAATAGGAAAAACATCGCTTTAAATGTGCGGGAAGATCATTGTAGCTCAACATCAACGCTGGTAATATGTCCTTGTCTCGCAGCTCCCATATTTCACTTCTCAGAATACGTTTCCACTCTACAACCTCTGATTTGGAGCGTAACATGCCAGCGAGCGTCTTCAGAGCTAAGGGCAGTCCTTTGCACTTAGCTGCAATTTGTTTTCCGACCTCTTCAAGTTCCAGATGTCCCATAGGATCCATGTTTTCAAATGCATGTCTTTTAAATAAAGACCAAGAGGCTTCATTAGACAAACTGTCCATGCTAATTTGCTCATTTCCCATCATCAAGGCAACACTCGCTTTGCGTGTCGTCACAATGATCTTGATCTTACTTCCTATATCTCCTTGTACACAAATATATTTCTCAAGTCATCCCACTCGTTGTAGTTGTCATTCCACACATCATCCAAAACAGTAAGGAACTTCTTTCCCTTCAAGCTGTCCTTCAATTTGACTTGAAGCTGATTAAGATTGTTGTGGACATCCTTTGAGTCAAATTTGCCAATTTTTTGAAGTAACCCTTTCGTTATTCTCAAAGCATCATATCCCTCAGAAACACAATACCAAGCTTTCAAACCAAAGTGGTTCTTCACCCTCTCATCATTGTAAACGGCTTTAGCAAGTGTTGTCTTACCCAGGCCACCCATTCCCACAATAGGAATTACTGTCAGCTTTTTCCCACTTGCATCTTCAGACAATAAACGGTCAATCAAATCCTCTATTTCGCTCTGCCTACCAAAGATATCAGATTCATCATCCACAGAAGTTGAAGGTCTTCTAGTTTCTTGTTTCGTGGAACCAAAATACTCCTTTAAGCCAAGGAGACCAATTTGCTCTTGCAAATCCTTTAATGTTTCAATAGTGTCTTCCAACTTGTCCTTTATGTTAAGGAAAAATTCATCAGTCAAGCAAAGGTTGAGGTCACTTGCTTGTTGCTTGTTTCTGCAAAATTCTGATGTACTCGTTGTAGTTGTCATTCCACACATCATCCAAAACAGTAAGGAACTTCTTTCCCTTCAAGCTGTCCTTCAATTTGACTTGAAGCTGATTAAGATTGTTGTGGACATCCTTTGAGTCAAATTTGCCAATTTTTTGAAGTAACCCTTTCGTTATTCTCAAAGCATCATATCCCTCAGAAACACAATACCAAGCTTTCAAACCAAAGTGGTTCTTCACCCTCTCATCATTGTAAACGGCTTTAGCAAGTGTTGTCTTACCCAGGCCACCCATTCCCACAATAGGAATTACTGTCAGCTTTTTCCCACTTGCATCTTCAGACAATAAACGGTCAATCAAATCCTCTATTTCGCTCTGCCTACCAAAGATATCAGATTCATCATCCACAGAAGTTGAAGGTCTTCTAGTTTCTTGTTTCGTGGAACCAAAATACTCCTTTAAGCCAAGGAGACCAATTTGCTCTTGCAAATCCTTTAATGTTTCAATAGTGTCTTCCAACTTGTCCTTTATGTTATGGAAAAATTCATCGCTCAAGCGCAGATTGAGGTCACTTACCTGCTGGTTGCTTGTTTCTGCAAAATTCTGATGTTGACCTTCCACCTTAAGTCTCAAAGCTTCATAATTGACTTCTTCTATTAAGTTTTCAGCAGAGTCGACAGCATCTCGAAGCTCATTAAGCCAGTCACTCACAGATGGATTTGATGCTTGCTTATTCTCTGCATCACTTAGCACAATCTGAAGACCACGCAAAGTCATTTTCAGCTTCTTTAAGAGCCGAACATGATGCTTATGCTTCTGAAACATGTTGAGCAGATCACCGTGAGGAGCAAGCCTATCAAAGAGAGCATTCAAAGCTGAAGAGAGAAATGCACTACCAACTGCTAAGCCAATCTCCATTTCTGAAAAACACAAAATGATTTTGATGAGAAGACAAATTTTTCTATCTAGCTTCAACTACTAAGAGAGAACTTCTTTACCTGTTGAATGTTGAGAGTAATTTGCAAACAAGAATGATCAGTGATTGCTTGAAATTAGTACAACTATGTTTCAGCTAATCTACAAGAAGCAAAACTGTCCTCTTTTCTCTTTTCAAAAAGTATGACTCCACTAATTGAATAATGGAGGAAGATATCTTTTGCTTTATGTTTATTCACTACTTTTGCTTTATGCACTGTTCATTTTTCAACAGCTCATTGTAGTGCTTAATTGGGTCTAACATATCATGAATACGTTTTAGAATTGGATTCTGTTCCATTTTCCTTTTCTCTAAGGTATTATTTTTTCTATGTTTACTTGAGCCGATGGTCTATCGGAAACAACCTCTCTACCCTACAAGATAGTGGTAAGGTCCCTATTTAGGTCCATGTACAACTCTGTCCCAATGAATGAACTGAAATCAACGATCCACCGTTTTATGGAAATGAAATAACAAATAAACATCCAACATATAATATAACATAATTGTCCTGAAAAAGGTACAATACACTCTTGGTTTATTGACACCAGTTAGCAATATGCTTGTTTGCTAAAACTACAAAATACAGACTAAGAAATAGCCTTTTTTCCCTTTTACTGAAGCAAAAACTCAAGAAATCGAGTACTAGTGCCAAATTTAATCAGAAAAACCTGTCTCCACCCCCTCCCAATCTATTGTGTTCTGCTAGATCACATATAAACTCTTTGAGATGCCAATCGTTTCGGCCACTCACCAGCTTCTCGCAATTGATGATCACAAGTCGTCAATTGAATGGCAATCCTCCTTCAAGAAAGAAGTCTATTTCTGAACATTTAGTAGTAAGGTTGTGCAATCCTCAACTGTTTGTGTTATAACATAACTAAACGTAAATGTTTTGATAACACATTGATTCCATAAAAAAATCACTACATGAGAAATAATCACTAGCAGTTGTAGTTTTGAGCAATAACCAAAGAAACGCCCCTCTGCCATTACCGATTTTTGATGAAAATTGTAACTTTGTCCAGCTTTTAGTTGAGAGTTACAGTACTAACAATGCTAAAAATATTGACAATAGATCCTAAAAAGTTTCTCTTCATCTCGCAACTGTGTGAAGTAATGTAGCTTTCATGTTTTTCAAGTAGTTCAACCTTCCAGAAAAATTGCTAGCTTTGACCCTGGCGTTGATGTGTGGTTGTGAATCCATGTAATAATACAATCAACGTTCATCCTGAATCAGCCAAATTATCAAAATAACATGAATTTTATACACTACACAATAAAATCACAAAACTATTGTTTGTCACATTAAAGTAACTCACCGTATCCACTATAACAGTAAAATCACCCCAGCATTGAAACAGAGACATCTGATATTCACCAGACCTTTGTGAGCTTATAAAATTTGTAAATATCCTCAACATATTTCACAATAGCCAAGTGATTATTAACATCAGCAGTATCAATATTAACAAACCTGATTTGTATAGTAGTATAATTCTTTGATGTTTTTTCTACAAAGAAAAGTAAATTTTCACCATAGTCCATCAAGGATTCATAATACAAAAATTGCATTGCGAAACTTGCAACTCACAATCAATCTCAGCAAAAGTAATATAAAATAAGTTGTTAACTTGAAAAAGGAGAGAACCATGCTCACCCAGAAAACATCAGGAATCAGGACTGCTGAAACTCGGAAGCATCAAAAATTAAACTGTAAAAAACATGAATAAAACAAATTAGAAATCGAAAAAGTAACACAAACAGAAATCGTGTAAAATAATAAAATCAACATGCCTTCAGAGAAATATTTTCTGATCTAATTGAAGAAAGTGAATCAAACAAAGAAGAGCCAAAGATGTACACAAATGTTTATATTCGATCCACCCAAGAACAAAAGCAGGTAAACAAAGAAAGAAGATTGCCGACAAATAGAGTAGAGTCTGATGAAAAAAAAAAGAGAAGAAAAACTCAGAAACACTAAACACAGAGTCGAACCAGAGCAAACAAAATTTGAAACAATGACTGAAATTGAAGGTCATATGCAGAGCAACAAAGGAAACAAAATGCAAGAAGAGTTCTTTCTGGAGCAAATTATCTCAATTCCTACCTATACTAGATTTCTTTTACAATGTTTGAATGCAAATATAAAGATTTCATCCTGATCTGAAGATGCTTCCTCGACCTCACTGAGGCAATGGTCAAAAATATTTATATCCTTTAAAAACTGAAATATCCTTGAACATTAAACAACAAAATGTCCTTTGAATTACCAGACATCTTAATATGACACACATAATTAAATTTTAGTTAGAAACTTTACATATCCCAACTTTAACCAATCTAATTCTCATAGATGTTATGTATATCATCAATTTTTAAATGACTTTTATAATTCATGACTTATAATTATACGTACCAAAAAATTGTTTTCAAAATCACTTTATATTAATGCATACACTTTGTTATTCCGATGTATAATTGTTGATGGATGATTATTGGTGGATGTAATTATATTGCTCATCACTATCACTTTATGTTAATGCACACACGTAGTTATTCTAATGTATAATTGTTGATGGATGTTATTGCTCATCACATATGCAATAAAAAAGAGGTAAATCTATTTATGCTTTTGTTAGTTATTGAGGAAGTTCCTCCATTCTTTTAAACTGGAACGGTTTCTCTCTTTAATTTTTGTTATTTGAAGGTTTTAGAATTCATTAGCTATTTCATTGTTTTTAGTCTACTCTATTTCATCTTATTTTCGAATATTTGTGGGATGAACATAATGTACATCTGAAGTTGTATAATTTATTGTGATGCTATAATAATGTAATGGATATTGATAAATTTTTATATATTATCTTCAAACATTATATGACATCTTCACAACTAATAACTCATGTGAAATTTACGTATCAAAATGATACAATTTCTTAAAACTATTTGATATGATTGTCAGATTGTCCATTTGATGTTAAGCTTTAATTTGGTGTTTAGACTCCTTCTCTTTTTGATTACTTAATTTTATGAATAACTATTTATACATATTGTAATTGTATTTAAATCATTTACAAATATTAATACTAAGTAGCGTGAAATACATGCATATTTTCTATTATGAAATTTATTTATTTTTTAAAAAAATTATATAGAAATCTTGTAGTAATTACAAGGGACAAATTAAACGTGCAACACACGTTCACAAAAACTAGTATTATTAAAAATGGAAAGAATTTATGTTCAAAGTTGAATTACCGTTTTACCCCTATATATTAAATAAAAATTATAAAAAAGATTATTTAATTAATTAAATATTGTAGTAGTAATTATATCCTATTATATACTAAATCCTAAAAATGGGAAGGTGCTAAGTCAGTTTCAATTTAAATACTTTACACAATGAAGTAAAAAAAGATGATTAATTCAATACATTAACTTCACTTGATTAATTAAATGCAAGATGGCATTCATCTATTTGATGAAAATTATAACTGATACATACATAGAGAACACTAGCAGCCACTTTAGTGACTTTTTCTATTCCTTTATTGAATTAGGTGCAGACCAAAAAACACCATATAACCTTCAAACATTTAATTTAAAACTTATCTTTTGGTATTCCTTAATTTTTATCTATATAAATTCATTTTTTTTTTGTTTCATGAGACCCCTACTCAAGAATATTATCATTTTCATTCTATAGTTAAAGTAACGACTTATATCATTATTGTACTATTTGGCTCATGTTTTAGTTTGACTCGACGAAGATGACTTTTGAATTTTGATTGGTTATGGATAATTAAGCCTCCACAAGAACTTGAAAATTATGTATTGTACTTCTTTTTCCATCTATATTGTTATGATATAAGTCTTAAAAAAAATGTGTATGTTGTATTTTTTCCTTCTCTATCTTTTTGTGTGTTTTCTCTTCCATTAAACTTCTTTAATTTAATTTTCTATTAATTTCTTATTGTAGTAAGTGTGTATATCTTTGTTGAGCTCAAATTAGCCCTTTGTGATTTTATTGGAAGTTTGCTAACTACCAATTATAGTTCAAAATTTATGTTGGTTGCTTAATTAATTTTAAACATTAAAATTCACCTCTCATTTGGTGTTTCTTGTCAAACTCTTAAAGATTAATTTGTAATTGTTGTATTTTATTACTAATTACACGCATTCTTTCATAAAATTGTAATCATTCTAACGTATCTATATATAAAAAGTAACTGGGAACACACGTGCCCATATATTATATTAGTATTATTACAAGTGTGAAGCTCCTAACCTCTAAGTTGGATTACCATTTTGTCCTTATCTTACCTCTAAAATAAATTAAATATTATTAGTTTCATAGTATTATTAGTTTACACTTGTATACCCAATATAACTGATATGAGTTGTGGTGAGATAGTTGAGATTTTTCTATCCTTAATTAGAATTTTGGAGCATGAGCCGTGGAATGGAAAAAATCATGTCAAGAGCACCGCCCGTTGAAATGAGGAAATCCGAATTTAGTCAAACTCCAATATGGATACCAAACACCGAATGAGAAAACAATATATCGACTATAAAAATATACAACACGTTGCTAACTACAAATATAATATACATATCCATCTTCAGTTGCAATTGTTGTTCAAAATCATCTAATCAGATCTCCATCAAATGTCTTCAAATTTTATAGAGACAATCTCTTTAGACTATTCCAACAAATCTAAACAACACTTCAAACATCTCACACACATAAAAAAAAAAGACACGATTTGAAATTCAAATCCACTTCTTCGAGCTTATTCAACCATCACGAGTTATCTTTCTACTTTGATTTTCTGTACACAAATCTTATAAAATCAGAACTCTAACCACTAGTTGAGTCCCAAACATATTTACAAATCGAGTTTGTCAACTTATAAAAGAGGCTTGCACTAGAAACATGAAATAGTATCAGCGGTACAATGTTTTTAATTGCCCTTCTTTGATAACCCCATCTCAAAGACTTGGCTATAGCAGCAGACATGCGTTCACTGTGGACGACATAATAGCTTTAGCGGGAAGAACAAAAAAATAAAAAAGAACTTGCGAACAGATGTAAAAATAGCAGCAGCACCTTAGAAGCACTTCTTGTGGACAATGGATGGACCAGACTTGTCGTACTCACCGTTCAAAATCCACATCTGATTAAGCACAAAACATGTTTAAGTTAGCAACAACACAATTCAAAATGAAGTTTAAAATTGCAAAAGTATATGCAAGAGAAGATTTTTAAAAATAAAGGCTTGCCTGCTGGAAGGTGCTAAGTGATGCGAGGATGGATCTTCCAATCACTGTCTGCTGGGGAGCGAAGACAGTGATTTCCTTACTCATACGATAAACACCCTGCAAATGTATATTTGAAGCCCTTATATCAAGCATTGCCCAGTGTAATTGCCTGGGAGCTATACGGAAGAAAAAAGATGTTTAGCTTTTTTGTCTGCCTCCTTTACCTATCAAAGATTCTGTTAACATTGTAGATGGAACTTGGCCATATCTGGTGTCTAAAAAATATGCAATTATATAATGCACAACAGTTAGCTGCAAGTCTGTAACATCAAATTGACTCGGACACACTTTATCCCTATTATAAGATAAAATTTTAAAAATATGTAAATGAAGCATCACAATTAGGAGCTACATGAAACATTTCTAAAGAGGGAAAATAGAATTTAATACCTCAGGCAAAGTTCTCAACGGTGATCCATATCAAAATTAATACCATCTAAATTTTCTACCTTTATCGCGATTTTGTATTCTTAAAAAGAAAATATCCATATCATTCAACGTTTCAAAAATTAATTCAGTGAAATCTGAATTAGGTGACATCAACTTAGCAAACACTTCATAAAGGCATTTTATGGTTTCTCATTTTGTATAGAAGCGAGGCATGTATTATAACTCAATCAGAAGATGTGTAAAACAAAAGATAGAAGAAGATATTTGCACCTTTGTAACTTTCTCACCCGTAAACTTCTTCTCATCAGGTGAAACAGGAATCGAAAACTTGGGTTGAAATGGGTATTGGGTTGAATTCTTCTACTATGTTGATGTCTTCTGTGTCTTGGGTGTCATGAGAATTGAAGGCGTGAAGCTCGAAATGGGTTCCAGAGAATTTTGAAACCGTTAATTTCTCTGTTTCGCTGATTGATGACTGATGAGAGTGCCAATGAAGGAAATCTATTTCGCTGATTTATGAGAGTGCAAACTATTACTACAAAATAAGCATCCTAGTAACTGAAACACCAGTAAATCATTATTTAGTTATCTAACCTTGACTTCATTCCGAGCAGGATATACTTTCTTGACTTCCCACTAGCTGTAAGGTTGCCACTCGAGGTTGAGTAACGGACATAATTTGAAGGAAACTTCATAATCCTCAAAGTTCTCTGCATATCAAAACCAAAAACTAATGTAATATTCTGGATCTTTGAATATGAAAAAAACTAGATGTAATAATGCAGTCGCATCAAACTTGAAATCAATGTGGTACAATATGACGTCAATAATGGAAGCAGGCAATTTAAGTCGTTTTCAATATCTTTAAATTTGAAGCGTGATGTAACTCTTATCAAGGTGTTGGTTACCTGATTGAGAAAGTGAGGTTGTATTTCTTGGACCCTTTATCTCCAAAGGTGATGACATCCTGCTAGCATATATTAAGCAATCAACTTTCTTGAGCAATAGACATTCCACACTGCTCAACAAGGTTTTAAAAAGGAAAAGAATAAAAAAAAAATCAAAGTGAAGTAAACAAAATTAAAAGCTTCTGATGGAAAAGAATAACTTACATCAGTTGGAGAGCCATCTGTTTTAATTCATCACATGTATTCCCAATTGATCTCTATGATGGGGCTGAATCATTAATAAAACCTGAATAGTGCTGATGCTTTTAGGTGTTAAATTTATTGGGAGGCAAACATCTGTATTTTTGATACATAGGAAACAAATCTTGTGTATGGCACACCTTTGGATTCTATTATAGTTTTGAATTCGATAGTGGACATGTGGATCACTCTAAACTGACTGAAAAGGGAAATAATATGAACAACGTGAATTGCTATTGAGATGAAAGTTCAAGCGATAAAAATCTTCGAGTAAGATATGTAACATTAATTGCTATTGAGATCTAAAATTAAAATAATTCTAATCTGAAGATGATTTCTCAGTTTCAGAGTGGCAATAGACACTCCATACTGCGCAACAAGAATGTAATAAAGAAAAAGAATTAACATAAAAGCAAAGGAAGTTAAAGAAAATAGAATGCTTATGAGGAAAAAGAAAAGCTTACATTTATGAGAGCACCATTTGTTTTAATCATTAAAGACATTCCTTATTGATCTTTATGGTGGGGATATGAGCAATATTTGGCCAGTATTCCCCCTTGTCAAATTCTAGTAGTGGTGTGAGCAATGGACATTCTGAAATACATAGTTTAGAGAGAGAAGAGGGCATCCCTTTTACTGGAAGGGAATGGAGATTAGGGAAATCAATGATTTGTAGACGTTGAAGCGAAGTGAGGTGCGAAAACTGGCCTTGTTCCAACATTGACTGAACTTGAGGTAAATTACCCTTAATAGCTAGATATTGAAGAGAGGTGAGGTTTTTGAGATGTTGGCTGCTTAATGTTTTCAGATTCTCTATAAAAAGTCTTTGAATAGAGGAAGGCAACTCCCAATTCTCACCACCAACAATCTCTTCGTCACTCCCATCATGCATAATCGTTAACTTTGTGAGACAGGGGAGTCTCTGTAAACGCCACTCCTTTCGGCCATTCACCAGTTTCTTGCAAATTTGATCTGAAGGGCTTGTAAATTGAAGGGCAATCCTCCTTCAGGAAAGGACTCTATTTCTGGACAATCCCACAGATGCAGTTCCTTAAGAGATGGAAGGAGTTCCCGCATACGTTCTGGCAGCCACTTCAGCTTCTTACACTCCCAAATATTCAAACACGTCCTCTGGGTCCCCCCACATGCCACTGAAAGTTTATCAAGATTCTCACAACTCCAAATATTGAGTGTTTCAGTCGCAGTAGGAATCAAAAACCTAGTAATTTTCTGGCAACTCCAAATTCTCAGTTTGTGCGCTCTTGGGAGCAAATCATCCATACAATCACATCCCTTCAGACTCAATTCCTCGAGAAACATACTCATCTCACCAACAGGCGGATCCAATTTCAAATTCCGGCAACCAGATATCTCTATTCTCTTCAAGGTAGTGGGCAGTATGCTAAAAGGTAAGGAGGTAACAGAGTTACAATCACAATATATAATTCTTCAATCTCCTTCATTCCCTCAAGTTGGGATCTAAACAGTTGAGCATCATCAAAAACAACTCCAACCTTAGAAGAACCAACAGCTTTAAACCTTTTTAAACTTGAAAATTGGATGGGTGTCTCCAAACTGAGTTCAGGGCAATTTATAATGAAAAGTTTCTCAAGGATAGGAAACTCTCCACTTCCTAGTAGGTGCCATTGCTTCCACTCCGGCATATCTTCAAATCTAAGCTCCACAAGAGAGTTAAAAGGCTTTTTGGAGGACAAACTACCATAGAATTCTTCCGTCACCTCTGTTATTCCATGCATCCCTCTAATCGAAAGGAATTTCAAACAAGGGAGTTGTCCTAGTGCTGGCAAGGAATAACAGACCTTGCAGTTGCTAAGAGATAATTCCACCAGCTTAAGAAACAAAGGATCAGCTAGCCAATTTGGAAATTTTGTCCCTCTATATCCAGTGATTTCGACTTCTTTTATGTTTTTATGTGGGTGTAGTTCATCAAGTATGTCTCTTTCAGTTTCTGAATTGTTGGCACTACTACTTTCACTCCACTCCAAAGATAACTTGTCAACAATGAATCTTCTCCCTCATCTTTGCCTTCACAGCTTCCCTACTATCAACCACATTTTGCAACTCTACAACTGATAGAGATCCATACAAGTTCTGTGCTTCACCCAAATCTTCCATTCTCAAACCACCTAAAAGAAACTTGACTCCCACTAACACTTGGAGGCTTTTCAACTTGCTCAGATATAGTGGCATCTTCAAGAGAGAAGTGTTGCTTATGTCAAGATGACGCAAGTTGATCAACTTCTCCATCTGCAGTGGTAGATCCTCAAGATAATCACAAGACGACAGGAGAAGTGTCTTTAAATTATACAATCCACAAATGGAATCTGGCAACTTATTAATCTCTGTCTTAGAAATATCCAAAAATCTCAGGAGCTTTAATTCGATAAACAAGTCATTTGGCAACTCAACAATATCGTAATGAGACAATGATAATGCCCTTAAGGATCTTAGTCTTGGCAGTATGTTATGCTGCACCCTCTTGCTTAGAGGGTGATAACAATGCTTGAGATCAATACATGT